GTGCTGGCGTGGGCTGCGGGTGTGGCAAGGGCCCCACGAGTCAGCGGATCCCGGGCCGAATCGGCGACACACTTCGCTTCCGTGATGCCATTGTGGAACAACAGTCCAGTGATGCTCAGCTTGCCAAGCCTGCGCCTAAGGACCTTAAGACGGCGCCCAACATCAAGCAGCTGCAAACTTCCTTGATTTATGTTCGCATCCCTCAGGCTTTTGCCCCTGAGCAAACGTGGAAGGACTTCAAAGCCGGGGCCGAGCGTGCCTCGATGAAGTGGTCCAGCTCTCAACATGTGCAGGGGATTGACTCCTTTGGCTGGGTTGAGGAACAGTTGCGAAATGCTCCGGGTCGCCAGCTCTTCGGCATCATGCGAGTGCCAACTGCTGATGTTGGCACTTTGCTGGGAGTCTCGGGGCAACGAGGAGTTTTTGTAGAGCCTGCCAAGCGTGACATTCACCGCTTTCGTAGTGAGTGGATCCCCAGGTTGTCCAAACAAGAATCGCATGAGCTTTACATGCAACGAGCCCTTCGGGGCGCGCCTGCTTTGGGGCTTTCGGTGTATGGAGAGCGCATTGCCTGGAGACATCCTTTGATCGATGGGGAGGTGCTGCCCCGTGTCTGGACCCTCGATGGTCTCCCGGGCACTGTCAATGCTCAGGACATGCTACCGGCTCTTGAACAAGGCTTCAAGGAGATAGCCCTAATGTCCCACAGACGTAAAAAAGGTTCTCTCTCCCTGCGCTTCCGGGCGGTTTGTTTGGCGGGGGATAAAGACTTGGTCCCGCTGCGCATCCAAATCGATGACGGTGATCCTATTTGTCTGTGGGCAACCCTTGCTCCGGCCAGGCAGGTTGAAGCGCGGCAAAAACCGTTGGGTAAGAAAGCGGTCCCGTTTGTGAGCGCCAGCAAGCAAACTAGTCTTGATGCCAAGCCCAGCGCGGCCGCTGCCACCGAGCAGAACGAGCTTGACGAAAACGGCAAATCCGTTCCAAGTGCCAAGCGCGCTCGCGGGGCTACTCGCGAGGTGCCGGGCGGCTTGCAAAGAGAAGCCTGTGCTCCTGATGGCAATTGCGCCTATGCCTCCGTCGCCGCTGCTCTCAACTGGATCCAGCAGAAGTCCGGGACCGATGCTTACAACCACCTTGAGTTACGTGCTCGAGTTGCTTCCCATTTGACCAAACACGGTACTCAATACGAACCAGAATGGGACAAAGTGTTGCCAGATGGCACCCAGGACAAGTCCTGGCAGGATTATCTGCATGCCACGGCCCAGGCCGGTTCTTTTGCTTCCGAGCTCGAGCTCCGTGCCCTCGGTCGGATCTTTGATCTCCGGATCCTCGTGTTGCCGGCCTCCGACTGCTTTAAGCCCATGGTCTTTCACACGTCACAGAAGAAAAGGTTGGCGGTGCTGTGGTTTCAAGATAAACACCTTGAGTTCCTGAAGCCCACGGGTGCAAACAGCTGCTGCAAGGATTACCCCGAGGAATTCTGGCAGGTCACCGATGGGCCGGTGCGTGGCCTTCGGGCCGGGGGCAAGGCTGCATCGGCTCGGGCGTCGTCCGTCGCGTCTGCTCGCACGGTTTTCACTTGTGATGTGGCCTCCAAAGCTGGCACGGTTTGGACTGCTGCCTCTAAGGCTAAACCCACAGCTGCTGCGACAAGCAGGGGGTCACAAATCGGAGCCGACGCCGTCTCGGTTTTCACTAAGAAGCGCTCTGCTCCGGCCAAACAAAGCAGCAAGCCGCGTACCTCCACCAAGGTTTCCGGAGTCGGGGTCCGAGGCGACGCCGATGACGACAGTCAGGACTTGTCGGGATGCGAGGATGCCGCCCCTTCCCGGAAGCAGCTGGCACCGTGTTCCCATCGTACTCCGGTGCTTCGTCCTGCTGATGGGATCTTTAGGTGTAAGTTGTGTCCTTTCCACCAGGCCACGGCGAATCTTCAGCAGTACAGACAAGTGAACACGAATCACTACAAGCGTCATCATGGGGGTGCCACGCTGCCGGGGCCTTTGGTTCGTCCGAGGGTTGGTAAGGTCGTTGGTGGTGCAAAAAGCCGTTTTTGGAAGTGCCCAAAGTGCCCCCTTGGAGTTTCTAAGGAGGTCCGAGCCTCGATCACCAGACATGTTTTCTCTGCCATGTGTGAGGAACATCGTCGGATGAGCCACCCCGAAGTTCCCAAGCCTGAGTGGACCAAGTTGATGAAGCAAAACCACCCGGGGCTCAAAGATCCCAAAGGATTTGCGGCGAGCTGTCGTGCACGAAAGCTTCAAAAGGTTGCCCTCGCTGAGATTAGGAAGCCCCGTTTCCCAGGCATGCAGACCTTCGTGTGGCCGATTCCGGTTTTCGCTAAGACTCCTGGCAACAAAAAGAAAGGGGAGTGCAAGCGCACGATTCGGCGCATCTCTTTGCAGCATGCGTGGAAGTGCCTTACATGTGGGGAAGTCTCTCAGGTGCTGAGCACGGTGCGGCAGCACTCCAAGGGGCCTTGTCCTCCTCGTGCTAGGGTTGAAGCTACGCGGAAGCGGAGACATGACAAGCTCGAGATCATGCGGGCCTGGGTTCGTGATCAGGTTTCCAGCCCCTCTGAGCGACAACTCTTCAACGAGGCTCTGAACGGAGCCGAGGATGCACTGCAGCGATCTCCCCATGCATCAAGTTCATCCGTGCAATGACAGCCAATCTCTGTCGCACTGGCATCTCCAAGACGGCTGTCGTTGATGCGTTTGCGGTAGAGCACTCTTTTGATCTTTTAGCGCTTCAAGAGATTGACGTGAACCACTTGTCTTCACCGGGTTATGTCGCGGAATGGCGAGGCAAAGGCTGCACCGCTGTTCTCAGTCCGATCGATGCTGCGACTCGCTCTCACAGAGTCGCCCTTGTGTCCCGTGTGCCTTGCCGACCGGTCAAACTTGAAGGAGTGCAGGCCAGCAGTCGTGTCGCGGCTGGGCTCATCGAAGCAAAGCGTCACGATCAGTTTGAGCATGTGCTGATTGTTGCTGTGTATGGCTTTCCAGGTGATGAGGCCGCCACCGATGCGTTGATCCGTGAGCTGCTCCAAGCTGTAAGCCGATTTGGGGGAAGTTTTCTTCTTTTAGGGGATTTTAATGCAACCCAACACTGCGGGGCTATTAGCTTTGCGATTCGGCAGGGGCAGGTGCACGCATTGGATGATGCTTCTGTTGAGGCGCAGGTGCCCACGAACCCGCTTCGCACCCGCCGCATCGACTATGGACTTTCGCACAGACGCCTGTGGGCGGACGACATTTTCAACATGGATACGTGTTTTTCGGACCATAAGGTGGTGGGTTATAAGCTGGCGGTTACTTTTCGCACCGAGGTTTTCAGGCCGCCCAAATTTGCCGAGCTTTCTTCTTGTGCTGCTGAGGAGGTGAGCAGGGAGTTTGAGCGATGCTGGCAGCCGCAGGCCTTTAGAGGGTTTCTTGAACGCCAGGATATCGACGCGGCCTGGGCCCTTTTGTCGGACACGGCGGAAGCTGCCATGGCTACCGAGCCGGGCGGGGCCCTTAGGAGTGCGGAGTGGCAGCCGTCTCCGCAGGCGGCCCGCCCTCAGCTTGTCAGCAGTGCAGGCCATGAATCCTTCACGGTGCGCGCTTTACGACGCCTTGTGAACCAACTTAGTCAGTTGAAGGCCAGGCCCTCGGACCCTTTTCTGCGGCAGCGGATAGGACGGGGTCTCCGGCAGCTTCGTTCGAATTTCCAGGGTTTGCCTTTCATTAGCCTTGACTCCATAGAAAACGTGCTGGAATGGGCGTCTTCGCTTCTTCAGCAGATAACCGATCAGGAAAAACAGGCGGCCATTGCGCGATGGCAGGCTCGGCAGCGCGACGATCAGGTTGCCACCACGGCATGGGTCAAGCGCAAAGCCGATGAAGCCGTTCNNTTGGCCCCCGAGGACTGCCGCACGGTGCACCCTTTCTCCTTCTTGCAGCAGGAGGCGGCGATCTGGAAGGATAAGTGGTCCCGCCAAGAGCAGGGGCTGAATTATGATGCCATCGCCACGGCTCTCCAGGTCCTTCCGGCGGTCGAAGGTCCGTTTTCAGACCCAGTCACCTTTGATGTCGCAGAGATGCAGCGCGCCGCTCGCTGCATGCAGCACAAAGCTTGTGGCCCTGACAGTTGGTCGGCCAGGGATCTGCTTAAGTTACCCCTTGCCTGGTGGCGGGCTTTCACCGAGCTGTGGCGGACCGCGTACCGTCTTTCGCGTATTCCACGTCAGTGGAAACGTGTCACAGTCGTGCTTATCCCTAAACGGGGTGAGGAGAGCCGTCCTATCGGTCTCTGCGCCATTGCTTGGAGAATAGGAGCAAAAGTTGTGAACTGGTGCCTTCGTGCCTGGATCCACAGTTGGCTCAGCAGCGACACCTTAGGAGCGGCCCCCGGTCGCGGCACCCACGATGCCCACGTCAGGTTGCAGCGTGCCCGTGCCAATGGAGTCCAACACTACGTCAAACAAGACTTGTCTAGTTTTTTCGACACCATTGACGTGCGGGCAGCCACGATGCTGTTGGAACGGATGGGGGCGCCCCCTGGATTAGGTGCTCTCATTTCCGAGTTTTACCGCTCGCAGAGGCGCATCTTCAGGAGCGAGCGCTACTACACCTCCGGGTGGACCGAAGTGTCAAGGGGGGTGATTCAAGGGTGCCCTTTGAGCCCCACCGTAGCCTTAGTTTTCGGTCACCTGTGGAGCCGGTTCTGTGCCACCCCACAAACTTGCAGACTCATCTTCATTGATGATAGGGTGCTCTGGCCGAAGCCAGGGACTCTTCAAGTTGATCGAGCCCTTGCTGCTGCCCTGGATAAATGTCGGGTGTTTGATNNTTAACTGTAGAGCGGAAAAGTGTGCGATGGTGCAGCCTACGGGCGACGCCACGCTGCAGGCCCTTGCCGATGAGAGGCATTACCCTTGTGAACACACGCTTGAAATCTTGGGAGTGGAGTTGCAGCTTGACGGTGGCCCTGACTCTTTGCTGAAGCTTCAGCTGGACCTGGTGCTTGCTCGGCTGCGTTACCTGCGTTTGTGCAGTGCCTCTGTCAGAGTCAAAAAGCTCGTCTACAGCAGCCTGGTGACCTCAGTGCTGGCGTGGGCTGCGGGTGTGGC